CTTGGGTCGAAATTTCTGATTTTATCCAGGCTTACTTTTCCAGACTTTAAAATGTTTTTTTCCCTTTCGATGTCAAACATAAAAATCTTATCCAAAGAAAAATGTTTGCTAATAGATAGATAGATCAACTGAAGAAGACAAAGGTTGTTCAACAGGAAAGAATTTTTGCAGTATCATGCTTACATCTCAGAAATGCACAAGACAATTTTAGTTGAGTCTGAAACAAGGGCTGGCTTTCTCTCGTCCATCCAGTCCATGTAACAAAACACTGCCCTCTCTCTCAGTAATTTGATTGACTTTTGATTACGCTGTTATGATGTACTGTAGCTGCACTGCTCTCGACCGATGCGGCTCACATGCATGTTGAATATATCGAATGTCCTCTTACATGATGTGCTTTTGTTCTTCACAGCATCCCTTGACAACTAACTCTGACATGTGGGGACACAGTGCAGTCTCTCCACAAATGCATGGTTTCCTGTGTCGATGTCAGGTTCACACATGCGGCTGTTTACGACGAGCTCAAAATGGACTCGCACAACAACTCATCTCCGCAGCATCAGCTGCGGTCGCGGTATCATCTGATAAACATGTTTTGCCATGCTTGTATCAGTAGATTAATGTAATAATCAAATGGCAGAAAGAAAAAGTTTGATAATCATGAGATCAGTGTTGTTACAATACTGAAATATCTAACTCTGATACGATACCTTGAAAAATATCAATATTCTCTACTATTTTTGATACTACAGGGAAAATTGACATACTAGCTTAATAATAATAATAGCTTAAGTCTTAAAGTGCACATTCCTTTTATACTATGTACTGTGAACCTCTGCACATTTCAGCACTAACCACTTCTAACAACTGCAGTGCTCTTTAATTCTAACTAAATAATACTGTGCATATTCCTTAAAGTATTTTTTTCATATTTTTATTATGACTGTATTCTATTCTACATTGGTGTTTCTTGATTTAACTAAACCTCTTTTTATCTTTTAATTTCATTTCCTCTCACTTTGTTTATGTTATGCACCACTACACCACAGCGGATGCCTTGCATGTGAAGACCTACTTGGCAATAAGCCAGATTCTGATTCTAATGAAGACACATGCATACACACAAAAAAATAACAACAGATATCCATATGTTCAACAACCAACAACTGCTTTTTTCCTCCCCTCCCTGTTAGCTCAGGTCTGAACGAAAAGAGGACTTCAGTGGTGACTGCGCTCATAGCTCCACTATCAAGAAACAGCTCACATTCAGCGCCTCACAACATTGGACGTGATCCAAGTAGGCCAATCAGCAGTGTCTTATCTGGAATGAGTTACCTACTGATACCAGTTGGTCCCTGATTCCTTACGAGATAACAAGCAGGAGCTGTTTGCTAAATGTGGAGAAGCTCTGCAAACATCATAAAAGGTCATTAATCCACAAGTCCTAAATGTGTGTGCACAGACACAGCAGCAACACACACAGAACATAGATACTCACTCACAGGCAATTGTGCTTAAAGTCGGGACTCTCAACAATTCATTTAGATGCCTAGTACAAACGAGCAGGTTACAAGGGCTAGTAAATCAATAATGCCATCTATTAACTGTGTCGACTTTCCGTGGAACTGTACTGTGACTTATGTTTACAGCATCATCTTTCAGCATTTTACAAATGAATGAGTTCAAAGTAATTAAAAAATGTGATACTAAAGTTTGCCTCATGCAATGCGTAACAGAGAAAAACAGCTCATGTATGCCAACATCAGACAAATGTTTGAATGAATAAGATTATACAGTTGTATCACTCAGCCCTACTTGACAAATGAGATGAATTACACAGACATCACAGTATGGGTTTAGGGTTAGAGCAACCAGCCAATTCAGTCAACAACATGCACTACAAGTGCTGATTCTTTCTTTCACTGAGCAACCCTTGCACCAGAGTACTGCACTTTGAAGAGCTCTCAAGGAGGCAAATTAATTGCTGCTATGTGGCTATTTAGTTTACATTTAGGTGTGCATTTAAAAAATGCAAACTAAACAAAATCTGATGGGTTTTATTATTGTGTTGTCTTACTTGGAAGTGTTTCCGCTCCACTATTACCTAGATTTTACGAAATTCTACAGCTCGAACCTGTGAGTTTCCCTTATTGGGTTCAGCTAATCAGATGCAGAGTATGTATGGATAGGTGCTCTTCACTTCAGATGTCTACTTCTCTGACACAACTAGGCACCTTTTTGAGGATTACTGTAAGCCAGTGGCTCCCAAATTGAGGGCGGCCCCCCTTGGGGGGGACACAGAGCCATTGCAATGGGAGAACATATGATCAGAGGGAAAAGTGTGGAGGACATAAAATATGGAGTAAAATTCATCAGCAAACATAGACAGTCTGAAGCTTTAACTTGTCTTTAACATGTCTAACAAGTCTTTAACATGTCTAATGAGTGGCTAAATGAGACTACAGAGGTTGTCGGGGACACTAAAAGTCATCATGCTGAAAATAGCTTTACAGCCTCTTTGTGATGGTGATGTTGAAGTAGTTCGTTTAAAGCCTTACATTAGCTCCTTAATCTAGTGATTTAATTTACGCTTCAAAAATCATTACAGTGGTGTCCATTTATAAAGATTATCTTGCTGAACAAAACGTGTAAGTATTATTAACATTTATTTTCTACAGAGCTTATTTTTTGCAATAATCCAAAATGTAATGGAAAAATCTCACTGGCTTTTTGTTGAGGGAATCAGGGCGATGTTAACTTCTGGGCTGGCCTACGTAAAATGTCACCCCTGCACAACTCCATTGCAGTCATCTCTGAAACTGAGCCCCACCTGTGCTTTTCTTGCTACGACAGAACAAAACTTCTGCTGTAAACACGGTCAGTCAATCTGATTCATTTTTGAATGAGAATTGAGTTGGGTTGACTTGAAGTACAAGAAAAATTTTACTGGAGAAGCACACCAAGGACACACATCAGTCAAATCTAAATGACAAAGTCTATGAGGAAATCTTTCTCAAGTTCACTGTTAATATAGCCAGAGAACCTTGTGTGTGAAAATGTTTGGACGTTTAACTGTCACTTTTCATAAGAATGAGAAACGTGTGACAAGTAAAACGCAGTTCATGTTCTTGGTCAATCAGATTCAACACAGCTCCTTTTGTTCTCAGTTTGGGATCCTCTACTGTAAGCACACAAGCACATGGCTGTAAAATTAATTACGATAATAAAAAAGACGATTGAACACTTCAGAAAAGGGGATTTTTTTTTAAATTACCCTGAATTTGATGCATGTGTTCATGACATACAAATGTTTTTCTCTATGCACTGTTAGAAAGCGATAGATATGGATGATCAGCTTCACTACAGACACTGCACCTGCTGATAAAAGCACAATGAGATTTGCAGTTTCACAAAACCTTACATAAACAACCACGATATCAGTAGAAAAACACACAACACTGCACAATTCAGGTATAAAACAGTAGTAGAAATTAAAATTGAACAGTATTTCAACTCAATTTCCTTAAAAAAAAAACAATGAGTTGCATCCCTACATTTCTTTGTGATAAATTCACTTGTTATGGAGAGGCACAGTCTGAGAGCACTAACATCTCACCATCATCATCATCATCATCATCCAACAGGCAGGTATGGATCACCAATCACCTACTATAAATTCCAATAAAGCCATAAATGTCATTAGTATCTCCCCAGTCTCTGCACTCATCACAGATCCTCAGCAAAGCAAAACACACCTCAATCTAACCCTTTGTGCCAACACCCACGTAATCCTTAATCCCTATTGGTCGGGTGTAACTGGCGTCCCGCCTCCCGGCGCCTCTGATTGGCCACCGCGACTGTCGATCCCCTGAGCTGCTACATAATAAACAGCTCGTTTCAATCTAGGTTGAGGCAGAAGATAAACAAGTTGGAGGCCTACGTGCCCGTGGCCTAGATAGCTATATTTAAAAGACATTTAAAGTAAAATCTCGCACCTGGCACAAAACCTGAACGCAACACGAGATTATACATCGATCCGTGACGTTTGTTGGTGTTTACACTTGACTAGAAACACCAAATCAAACGTACATTATGTGCCTGAGTCGACTGATAAAACTATACCGAAATCAAAACTAATCTACCAACCAAAAGAAATCGCTACTTGGGATATATCCTCGGTGGAAACATACGTCTGAATCGGGTGTATTATTGAACCTACATCACATGGAAATTTCTGGTTGTGTCGAGTTTTTTTCCAGCAGCACTGGCTGTGCCTTGTGTTGGGGGGCGTGTACCTACAGAGAGCTCGGGCTGCCTGCACAAAGTCAGCGCTGGGCATTTCACTGGCACACCGAGTCCTTTTCACTACAAACACATCTAAATACAGTTAAATCATGCTACAGTAAACACATCAACGATACACTGCATAGCTGTAAGTATACTATAAGAGGTGGAGCATGCTTTGGGTAGTTTAAAAGTAGAGTACAAGCCGATCTTCTTACGTAAGTGCAGATTTTAACCATCCTGACCCCGAGTCAGACATGTAACCCCACTTCTGAACAAGCTGTCCGTTTAAATAAACGAGGCATCATTAACAAAATCGACGGAGTATTGTTTTAAGGCATGTTAAGCGCTTAGTGACATTTGACAGTGACCGAAATGCATCTCCTCGTGAATACACGTTAGTTAGCTTCATATCTGCACACAAACACCTCCTGTGAGAGCTCGACAAACTGCAGCACACATTAAGAAACACGTTAAGTGTGTTACTTGCCCCGAGCTGTGTTTTTGTGATGCGGAACTGACGAGTCTTGCTTCCCTTTCACCCGCAGCTCACAGTCAGTATGGCCTCCGTCCGCCCCCTTCCTCATCCCAGCTGAAGCCCAGCACACAACAACAACCTACCGTTAGCTTCAAAGCTAATCCTCCGCCGCGGCGCAAACACACATCCACTGCTCAGCAAAGTTCCCCCAAAACGGATCGATAACGGTCCTACTCACTTTTAGGACGCCCACGCACACGTCTCGCTTCGTGTAGGACCTCGTGTATGTTCCCCTGTTGGAGATAATAAGGCCCTCTTTTCAATGGAGTCCACACGCTGTTATACAGCTCTCTCTTGGGTTTGTTTTGTTTTTCTTCTTCCTGACGGGTTCCTGGAAAGCGCGTGACTGCCTGACCACGTGGTGCAGCTCTGGGCCAATCAGAGCACAGCCCGAAGCTGGTTGACAACATCTGTGTAACATTTCACCATAAGCAATATACTGTAATATCAAAATAGAGAGAAACACTGGGGTCATCACGAGTCCAATTCCCTATATGTAATTTAGAGCAAACGCCAAAAATAAAGTCTCAAAAAGTTTTATATATATATTTATTTTTAATTGAGTTAGCTATTCAGTTATGTTTTTGGTTAATTGTATTTCCCACGTGGGGGTATGAACTCTGGAAACATTTTCCACTCTGCCCTGAATAAAATTCTGGTGGAGTATTTCTCTATTCTCTAAATAAGAATTTGACTCACTGCATTTTTAAACACTCATTTTACTGTAGGTCAGGGGCTACATACAGCCCAGTTCAATCTCAAGTGGGCTGGACCAGTAAAACCACTGCATACTACCACTATTACTGCTAATACTCACACTAATACTAATAATAACAAGAAACCATAAAGTGCATTTCAAAATAAAGTTACAAAGTGCTTTACATGGTTGATCCTGGATTTAAAACACACGTTTCAAGCAAATAAAATCAGATAATTGTAAGAAATACAAATAAACAGGAACCCCAACAATACAGATAAAATATATCACTGAAGCAGGTAAGTTGGCAACTAACTGCCCTGTAGATCACACAGAGGTATATCAAACCAAACAATTTGAGTCAGGACTGAGGAACAGCCAACAGAGCCTTGCTTAAGGATCTGAGGCTGCACCCTGGCTCATAGGGGAGCAGCATCTCAGCTGCAGCATCTAGCCCCAAACCATGAAGGTCTTTAAAATCAAATCTTAAAATCAATTCTGAAACTGACTGGTTACCAGTTAAGAGAGGCTAAAACAGGGCTGATATGGTCATGTTTTCTAGTGTTTGTTGAAAGCCGATCAGCTGCGTTCTGCACAAGGTAATAATCTACTTTTCCTCTCTCTGGGTGTAAACAAGTGCATTCTGAAAATGTTCATCCACTTACAAAACAGACGATGAGCAGCCTCAGATGTCTTCAGAACAGTAAGTGCTCAGTGTGTATCAGTTATTCCTCATTTAGTCAGTCTACTACTCACTGTCATTACATGTGCATTTTTCTATGCATTTCCACTCCTGTGTGAAAATGCTGGCATCACCACATCAAACTAAAGTGGAAGCTATTGAAGAAGTAGGTTTACTTATTACCTATCTTACGAACCATTTACAAGCATCTGACTGACAGTATTTTGCTCAATGTTCAATATATTTGGATATGACAACAACAAGTATTCATTATTATTTCAGAGAACTGAATCTCTGGTCCCAGTGGAAAAGACACTGAAGCAGTAATTTACATCAAGTAGGATACTCTCTGTTAAACTGACTCCTGAAACCTGGCTCCTCTTAGCTTTGAAAATACTAACATCGGACAATTTTTTCCTTTTTTTGGGTGGCAGGAGTAAAAAATTAGTCATCCTCATCAGTTTTTGTGTTATGGTTTCAGAATGATTGAGACAGCTGGAGAACAATTGGACACAAAATAGGATGTAGGTTCGACAGGATGTTTTTTTTTTCCTGAGCAACTTTCTTCTTTTGTTTCAAAATGATGTACAAATTTTAGACATTTCTCTTATCTCAAATGGCTTGAAAATAGTGCATACAGCTGCCATAAACAGGAAAGATATCCCCCTGAAGGAACATGCCTCCGAACCCCCTATAGGTTTATGTCTAGCCCTGACTGTTTACAACATCTGGCTCCACCTCTGATCCCACTCTTTGAAAACTGTAAAAAGAGAAGCTAAGGCAATTGACTGCCTCCTTCCCATAAACTGGCATAGTAAAAGTCTCCATTGAGCTCAGTCCAAAAGGAATTCTCTATCAGCAGCTGTTCCAGGCAGCCCCCGCCCCCCTTTCACTGGAAAGAGAAACTACTATGTCTCCAGTCATTACCAAGTGTGACAACATAAGGCTAATAACAAACAACTACATGAAAGAAAACATGTCAAGTATTTTTTTTAAATAGTTATGGTGTGAGTTGAAGCTCTCGGCGAAAGATGGGTATCAGAGAAAGAGACAGCATTACTCTTTCAGTTTCAGTATTACTCAGGAGAAATACATGAAAGTTAACAGAGCACTGTGTCTGAAAGCTGCCTTGTTTCAGGCCAAACAGCCACAGCAGAGCCAGTGGACAAAAAAAAAAAAAACACCACAAGATTCAGGGGAACTTTCAGAGCAACATACAACCTCCATCCTGCAGCTGACAAGAGGCCTTCTGTAAGATGATCAGTGCATCTATCTATCTATCTATCTGAGCAGGTCAGTTGAAGCTACAGCAGCAACACAGCAGCTCTGCAAGCTTCCTCTGTGATGATCTAACAGTCTCTGAGTACACAGATCACACACACATCAAACGGCCTGCGGAGAGCTCTGCCAGGTTGGCAAAAGATGGGAAAGGATCAGATACATAACAATGAGATGAAATGCGGAGCACGTGTGTGTTAGTCCGTGTGAGTTCTGGGGAATCTGTGAGCCTCTACTAAAATGAGACTTCTGGTGAATTTGGTGCATCTGTAAAGCATCATGGTTTTTTCCATTGAACAGTGATTTATTTTTAGTGACTTCAATGCAACACACAGTTCAGTTTGCGACTAGATGTTACAATTCCTCGATGCACATACTTGAATATAGTATGAATATAGTATAGTGTCGTCTGGGGGCTTCCAGGTGGGAGCCAAAGGGTTAAAAGAGATGGATAGGAAAGTAGGAAAGAGCATAGGAAAGGCAGAGCCGAGGAGACATGTCTGCGCCGACTGAACTCTCCCCCACTGGACCAGGCCGGTCAGTTGTTGTTGCACATACTTGCGATTGTGAGTGAAAGTTGGAGCCATGCTGGGGGAGGGTGTGGGGGTTAAGGGGGGGTAAAAGCTTCATTGGGGTCATCAGGTGGGCCCACTTCTTTATTGGTGTTTCGATAATAGGCCCACGACACCTCCAGAGTTCTCTTTGGCAGCACCAGGTGTCCCAGGTGCACCCCCTTTGCTTTAACTCCCTCGAACCTTGCTGTTGTTAATGGTATTTTTGGGCCCAAGTGGCGTCTCCTCTCTTGATCCATAGCCACCGGCTTGCCTGTTCAGCTGCGCGCAGAGAGGGTTTTGATAGCCTGACGTTGGGTTTGGCCTCGAATTCCCACTTCTTTAAGCAGCCTGATAGTTGTAGCCCACTCCAGCTGGGTAAACCTTTGCTTTCCAGTCGCATTGCTGGAACCTTGAACCTTTTTCAAGGCTGCCAGCTTGGCAAACTTAAGGCTCTTGCACTCTTCCACAGCATCCTCCCAGGGCACAGTGGTGAAGACGAGGTGCAGTGAGGAGGACCAAAGCTCAAGGTCTGGGGTGAGGTTAGTAGAGGTGCTGTCAGATGGAAAGCACAGACGCTGATTCAGATCTGCCAGTAACTTCCAGTCTCACACCCCTCCCAGTTGGCTGGTGTCTGATTTTACTGCACAGGCTTTGGATTGCTTCCCATCTTCACAGACAAACCCCCTTGTAGTTGTGGGATGGAATGATGGAGGAGGTAGGGCATTGATGGATGTCTGGCTGGTCTCCAGGGCAGCTGCTCGACCAGGGGAGTCAAACTCATTTTACTTCATGGGCCACATACAGCCCAATTTGATCTTAGATGGGGTGGACCAATAAAACCATCGCACAATGACCTATACGTTTCTTTGAGTAGAGAATTACAGGTACATTCTGTAGGCATTCATCCTTTTACAAAAAAGATAAACAGCCTGAGATGTCTTAAGAAAAAAAAGTTCAATTTCAACAGTATATCTCAGTTTTTCCACATTCAGTCAGTCTGCTTCTCACTGTTATTACATGTGCATTTATCCAGACATTTCCTGATACAGATTCTTTTGAACTGAAGCTGCTGGTTGACAATATTTTGCACGATGTTAAATATCTTTTAAAATGGTAACAGCAAGTATTCATTGATGTATCAGAGAACTGTTATCTGGTCAGGGTGTAAAAGCCTCTGAAGCAGAATTTTACATGAAGTATGCGTTGTTTAACTTGCTCCTGAAACCTGGCACCTCTTAGTCTGGTCATCTAGTGCACCGGATTGGATCCTTTGGCGGGTCGGTTCTGGCCCACGGGCTGTATGTTTGACACCCCAGTGCTAGACACTTGAGCAACCGATTGTGCTGCCAGGTATGACGACCTTGTGTGAGGCTTGTCTTGCAAAAAATACTAAAATTCTAACAGTATATTTACATTGAAATGATTTTACAACAACTCCTTTTGTGCCTTTTTTTCATTGAATATTCATGTTTGCCATCTAAATTCACTGAAAATATTAATAATTCAAAGCTTTGAAAATGTCTTTTGAAAAAAGTATGGTTTAACACATAAATGAGACACTGTGTGGCAAACCACATCAAGGGTGGGCGGATAAACTCCCCAAGTATTGATAGCACAGATACAAAGTCATGTTCGAGTACTGACACAGTGGGGAGGAAAATACTAACAGTTCTGAGATCCTAAAAGGGCTCTCCAGTTATTTAGCTCTGCACTTGAATTAAGATGGGAGACTTGCAAGAGATAAATTGAAAACAGAAAAGGTCTAAGCTAAGATATCCTGATGTTAATGATGAGTCATGCTCCCAAAACACTGGACCCTACCCTAAGTACAATTTTGAGGTACTTGTACTTTACTTTAGTATTTTCATGTAACTGATACTACATGTATTTGATCACTTTAGTTACTAGTAATTTGCAAATCTAGATTATTACTAAAAAATTATAAATCATCTTATAAATTACAATGTATTATTAAACGTTTTGATACTTTCATTATATTTTTATGATAATACAGGACTTTATATTTCTAAGATAGTATTTTTACACTGTGGTATTGATACTTTAACATAAGTCAAAGATCTGAATACTTCTTCCACC